GCGAGCAAAAGTTTAAATGTTCATGTCTTCTAACTTTGTTGTGTTTATTGTGGGATTGGACATTTATTATAATCATAGGGGAAGCGCTAAACCCGTAGGATTGTACAGCGCCTGTGGGGGGGGATGGAAGGTATTCAGGCTTAATTCACTTAGTCACTTAGCCATAATACCAACTTACCTCATAATTTGTAATATTTTACAATTAAGAATAAAACTAAGTCTGCCGAAATGCCTAGCCATGCTAAGCGTTCTAGTGGTACACTCTGTAATCACAATTTTACTACATGTAAACCACACAATAACCAAATTTCTGTAAACTCAGCATTGTAATCCTTATAGAGAATAAACTTTGAATTGAATTGAATTGAATTGAAAAACTGGAGCACAGATTCAGCTTCCTAGATCAAGATCCCCTCACCAGCATCAAGGAACCTTCCTTGAGGGGTGTGGGATAGGATAGTAAATAATCTATAAACTACTGATCACCTATGATTAGCAGTGCAATTAAATATATATGGTCCTTCAAACAGTTTCAAGCTACCTTGATGTCGTTAATACACTAGAGGATGTACATACAATACTCCCGGTGATTTGGACACAACCCCACATTGATGTGAAGGAGGGGGGGGGATCCAAATTAGGGTAGTTAAGGATATGGTTAAGTGTGGACATGGTATAATTAATTCATTATACTCTCAGTTTAATTCCCCATAATATCTAACTGCTCCAACTTGCTTAACCAGCATAACACTGAAGCTTAGACCATCAGTTTCTGTAACAGTGAACATGTTTCTTTGTAATGTTTATGACAGAATTCATTGTACATGTATTTAATTTGATTTAAATCAGAGGAAGCACTAAACCCATAGGGGTCATGTAGTGCCTGGGTTATTGGAAGCATTCAGGTTCAGTCTGAGAGAAAAGAAGCTCAGTTCCTTAAGTCAAGAGCCCATCAACAGCATCTAGGCATCTCCCTTGAGAACAATTTTTGTGGAACAAATCACTTTCTATTGCTACTTACTATTACTATTTTATTGCCTTAAATATTCTGTGGAGAAGCCTAGACACTGGAGTCATTCCACAGAACATAAAAAACATTGATATTGCCCCACTACACGAAGGAGGCAGTAAAGCAATTGCAAATAACTATAGACCAATAACCTTAATATCCAGCATTATCAAGATCTTTGAAAGGGCTTTAAGAAGTAAGAATACAAATCACATGGACTCACAGCAGTTACACAACTCAGGTCAACATGCATTCAGAACAGGTCACTCCTTCCTTTCACAATTGGTAGACCATTATCACATGGTCTTAGATGCACATCAAGACAATCAAAATGCAGATGTAGAATACACAGATTCTACAAAAGTCTTTGACAGGTGCAACCATAGGGTAATTGCACACAAAATGTATGGAAAAGATTATTATTATTATTATTATTATTATTATTATTATTATTATTATTATTATTATTATTATTATTATTATTATTGTAATCACAACAAAGCGCTAAACCCACTAGGGTCATACAGCGCTGCAGGGCAGGGAGAGATGCAAGATCAAAGAATAAGCAAGGGTGGAGAGGAAAATAAAGGTAGAGTTAGGAAGGGATACAAGGAGTGCTAAAAGTTTGTACAATAAATAGGGTGTTGTCAGAAAGTCAGAGAAAGTCTGTGTCAAAGGTTGGGCCGTCAGCAAAGAGGGAAGATAAAGTAAGTGTTAGAGTGGCAATGACATCGGAGGTGTGTGTAAAAAGAATAACTGGGAAGATGGACAGATGGATATTTAACTTTCTAACAAACAGATCCCAAAGAGTAATAGTAAATAGTGAAATCAGGGGCTGCCGCAGTGAAAAGTTCTGTCCTTCAAGGAACAATACTTGTTCCACTCCTTTCTCATTCTTACATCTGACATAGACAGTGATGCAGATCTTAGCACTGTTGTCCTTTGCAGAAGATACTAGAATTTGTATGAAAGTAGCATTTATAGATTATTATTATTATCAAAATCAAACACTAAACCCACTAGGATCGTAGCATTTATAAAGGATACTGAGTCTCCAAGTTAATAAAAACCAAGTCTACCAGTGGGACACTGACAAATATGACGTTCATTAAGATAAATTTCAGTAACTACATCATAGAAGAACGGAGGAAATCAAAATAAGACTGGAGTACAAGACAAACTCAAACCACTCAATAGAATGCAATTTGAATGAGAGATACCTGAGAGTGATAATGTCAGATCTTGTGTTCAAGGAGCAGAACAAGGTTATTACTGCAACTGCAAGGAAAATGATTGGATGGATAACTAGAACCTTTAGAAGAAGAGATGCCAAACCAATGATACTCTTCAGGTCATCCATTTTTTTTTCTAGACTGAATTATTGGTGTCTACTAATGACCCCCATCAAGGCAGGCAAAATTGCTGAGCTGGAAAATGTACAGAGAACCTTCACAGCTCACAAACTCAGTCAAGCACCTAAATTTCTGCAAGCTCTTTAAGTCCCTAGAACTCCTTACAATGTAGGTAAGAAAGATATATCATAAACTGCACCTGGAAGATAATAGAGGGATTGTTCCCAAATTTACACACTAAAATTACTACATATGAAATGAAGAGACTTGGCAGAGTGCAGGATACCTCCAGTGAAAAGTAGGGAAGTGATAAGTATATTGAGAGAAAAAATTTTAAGTGTTAGGGGGCCACAACTCTCCAGCACACTCCCTCTATGCATAAGGGGATTTCAGACAAACTTGACAGATTCCTCAAAACTGTTCCTGATCACTTGGGTTGAGGTGCATATGTTGGAATGCACATGGCAGGCACTGGCATGCTAAATGATCAGGCAAACAACCAACAGGCCTGGTCTGGGACCGGACAATGGCAGTGGCCTCTAGCAACTCCAGATAAACCTTAATTTTGTACATGCAGTTTATTGTTACTGTAACTCGGTTAATGTTTGGGCTTTGTCCTTAGATTATGTACAAAAAGGATGAGATAAGGGTGCATTATAAAGTAAGAAAAGTATTTCATCTGGGCACAAATTGCTATTAATGCTTATTCAAACCAGACTGTGAAATTAAAAAACTCATTATTATTATAGTACAAAAGTGCTAAACCTACAAGGAGCATACAGCACAGCAGGGTAGGGAAGGGTGCAGGGGTATTGGGCAGGAAGAGGGAGGGGGATTATCATTAGGTCATGGAGTGCAGCGGAGCAGGGGATAGTGCAGGGGTAGAGGGTAGCAAGAGACTGAGGTAGAAAAGGCTGTGAGGTGCTAGAGGTATCATCAGAGTTTGTGCAGTAAATCAGTTTCTGTCAAAAAGTCAATGAGAGAGTCTGGGTTAAAGGAGGGTCCATCAGCATGAAGGAAAGGTAAAGTAAGGGCAGTAGAGCGGCAACGATGTTGGAGGTAAATTCTGCATGCTCGTTGATAGTGGGCAGTCCAGCAGAATATGGCTAACAGAAACTGGAACTTGACAATTCTCATAGAGTGGGACAGGGCACCTCTCCATGAGATACCCGTGAGTAAGAAGAGTGTGGCCGATGCAAAGACAGGAGAGAGTAGTCTCCCAACCTCAACACTAATGACAAGATGGCCAGAAACCTATACATGTACTTGATTTTATAGAATGTAATTTATTATGTAGCGGGTCAGACCAACGTTGCCAACGGGTGCACAGGTGGGTAGCAATTGCAGCAAAATAGTCTGTGAATGGGACACCTCTATATGAAATTGGGAGGTCATGTACTGCTGATTGCACAGCAGTGTCTGCCTGTTCATTGCCCTGTACGTCAACATGACCAGGGACCCAACAAAAAACAATGTCTTTGTGCTTGCTAGAGATATGGCATAAACAAAGTTGGATACAAAGAACCAGAGGATGAAATGTATCAAATTTTCTTACAGCCTGTGAAGCACTAGGGGAGTCTGAAACTACCACAAATGGTGACACAGGCATAGATGCAATATGGATAAGTGCTACGAGAATGGCACACAATTCAGCCGCAAAAATGCTACCTGAGGATAAATACCCTTGCACAATGCTGTCCGGAAACACTGCTGCAAATTCGATGCCGTCAGAAGACAGCATGAGAATGAGATCGGAAGTGGTTAAGAAAAAGAGAGCAAGAAGCCACCATAGGCAGTTGGGCATTCACACGTGTCAGTGGGAAAGAACAGTCACGAACCGTCGGAACTTTCCAAGGGGGTAGGGAAAAGTGAAATGCTACATGAACATAGAAAGGTGGTAACTGAAGAGAAGACAAGAGCGAATGTAGGCGAAGAGAAAAGGGACGGAGTAAACAGGGGCGACGAACAAGTGAAGAACGTCTACTTACATCAGTGACTATCCTATATATGGAAGGATTGTGGTCATGAGATTGAACATAATAGCAAAGGCAATGAACATCATGGCAATCAGTTAAGGATGGAATATTCACCTCTGCATAGAGGCTCTCAACTGGTGAAGTGTGAAAAGCACTTAGGCATAAACGTAATCCCTGGTGGTGAATGGGATTAAGGCTAGAGAGAGTTGCAGGAGAGGCTGCTGAAAATATCTGGTCGCCATAATCGAGTTTCGATAAAATTAGAGCTGAATGTAGTCAAAGGAGAGTTCTATGATCAGCCCCCCATGAAAGATGGGTGAGGGCTTTAAGGAGGTTCAACCGGCTATAACAAGTTGCCTTCAGAGAGGTAATGTGAGGTTTCCAGGAAAACCTATGATCAAACAGAAGGCCAAGAAACCTGACTGTATCACGTTCTGGGATACGTGAGCCATAGAGGTACAATGGGCGATTAGAGACGATAGAACGTCTAGTGAAAGTAATTTAGTAAGTTTTAGTACTAGAAAATTTAAACCCATGAGTGGAGGCCCAATTGGAAACATGGTTGACTGCATGCTGGAGAGAAACTGCATTGAGGTGACAGTCAGCACCTGCACAAGCTATAGCAAAGTCATCAACATAGTGATGACCAAATATTGGATGGAAGAATAGATGC